GTGCCAACCAAAAAATAGATGGAGACTCTGTCTTCCTTTTACCTGTCTTAAACCTGGTTCCGGGATGAAGCCAAAAATTTGTTGTTTTCTCTCTGTGGGACCCTGGCGGGACTCAACCATGCTGATGAGTTGTAATACACCGAAACGGGTCCACGGATGGTCCGGCAGAGAGAAAAAGTTCTTAGTCGGTCCTTATAATTGGTCCGTTACCTTAATTAAATATAATATAAAGCCAAGATTTACATACGTCTTCGGGCCAATATTGGTAATTTCAATTGGCTCTATATTGCATAAAGTTCTTGATATGATATTGATTATTTCTTTTTGGGCCAACATTTAGTTACGTTATTGTACCAACGTTGGTATTTGTTTTTGGGTATATATTGACATACGTTCTTGGATAAATATAGCAGAATGTCCACATCTTTTATTGGGCGAACATAGAGAATCTGACTTGGGCCAATAAATCGTATTTATTGTCCCAACATGGGAGTGCTGCTTGGGATTGGTGAAGTTTTTGTCAGGATTGCCGTTGCCACGGGGAACCATGCAATTGTCAGTGGGCTAACGTCACCTTACGTCTCGCTATTGGCCAGGACTCTTGTCATTTTATCCTCTCATCTTGGAATATCGATTTATATTGAAATATCCAGTGGCGGCGGTTTGGTCATTGTCGATTTTAATGTACGAGTTGCAATACTATAACACTTCCAAAAAGTTTCGCACGAAGCTGGGTATTTTATGAATGAAATCAAATCAGCCATTTTTTTTACAAATGCATTCCCCTTACCGTTGCCCCGTAGACATAGAGTCGCTGGGCAGACATTATGTCATCTTTGGATGATGATGATGATTTGATTGCTTTAGATTCTGTACATACTAAATTAAAAAGAAAAAGAATTGGTATACCATATTCTTAATCGTGAAAGAAACCTGTATGGAGAATATTATTTCCCTCCAATATTTGCCGACTACATTTCGATTGCTATGCTGCTTATGCCTTTCGTCCCAAATAGGGGTTTTTTCAAAAATTGCAGATATTATTAACTTCTTATCCATCACAAGAACTGAAAAGACACTGCCGCGACGCGTGCAAAAGCAGAAATAAACTAAACTTTCATTCCGGTTAAATCGAGAATGCTGGTTCCCGCCTCTAATGTCTGCCCAGCGACTCTGTGTCTACGGGGCAACGGTGAGGGGAATGCAGTTGAAAAAAAAATGGCTGATTTCATTCATAAAATACCCAGCTGCGTGCGGAACTTATTGGAAGTAGAACAAAGGGAGAATTATTGGAAGTGTTATCGTATTGCAACTTGTACACGAAAAAAACAATGACCAAACCTCCGCCACTGGATATTTCAATATAAATCGATATTCGTAAGGTGACGTTAGCGCATTGACAACCGTATGGTTCCCCATGGCAACGGCGATCCTGCCATAAACTCCTCCAATTAGGTTCATCCAGGCCGAATGCTTGCCAAATAGTCAAAAGCTGATATCTTTAGAAAATGTTTATTTTTTACAATAGACCAAATTGGAGAAATCAAAATTAAAATAAGAATAGATCTAACAACCACGTTGAAATATTTAGCGTTTTATTATTGTTATCAATATTTTATTATTAAAAAATGGATTTTCAAATGAACTATACTACATGCCTAGTACTTTCGCTTTTTTATAATTAAACGTGGCAACATGGAACATTTACGTCCAAATTCCTTCCGTAGACTCAGATCCGATGGGCAAACAATACCTGCCCCTACCTGATTTTTATAGTACATAACTGTGTACTAGCCGATTTAAAAACATGCATCCATTTTTCCCGCTTATAAGTGCGAGTCGGCGCTGGTTACCGGTAAGCGGAAAGGAAACTGAGCCGCATTCTTTCGCAATATATTTGAATCATGATTCCGAGATCCTGATTCGTTTGTTCAATTGGAACATGTTTTAATTTTAATGTTCGAAAGAACCCCCTCGTTTTTATTCTCATCGGTGACTTCACCGGTGAGTAACCTATCTTTTTTTAGTGAATGGAAAATGACAATGACAGCCATAGAATGGTGGATCCATCGGTAAAATTTGATGAGAATAAAAACGCAGGGAACGCTGTCCAGATTTTCGTGATCGGTACAAACTAATCACAGAAAAAAATGTTCAGTTTGTAAATATTTCTAGGAGAATTATCACATATATTTTTTAACCCATTTCACTTATTTAAAGTACTCCTCAGCGTGTTTAAATCCAACATTCAAAAACGCGCGTGTTTTAAAGTTACTAATGACAACATCAACAACCAACAGCCCGAAAAAGGTCTAAATGTCAACTTTTTAATTATTGATTTGTCAGGAGTAGGTACTTGTAGATAACGTCAAATAAAATATAACAAGCACGAATTTAGCATTCTACAATTATTAGTAATTTATGATTGGAACGTATATCAATAAAAAAAAATAGTGTAAAGTATTCGTGGATAACTGGTCCTTAAAACACTTGCTCTATTTCAAGCACTCCGGCTGCGCCGTCGTGCTCGAAAAATCGCGCGTGTTTTAAAGACCTTAATATCCACTTATACTTTAATATACTATATTAATTCGCAATATTGGAACAATATTTTTCTTCAATATCGGATTCATATTTAAAATATATATTGGGCAAACAAAAAAAACTGTCGTTTCCATTCTTGGGCCAATATGTAAAAAATATAATATTTTACCAATATTGTTGTGCTACTGGGGATGTTATAAAAACTCGCGCGCCTAATGGAAGGTTAATTTAGTGCGTAATTCACAATTTAGTGCATAAGCTTTAAAGTTAAATTTATTAATTTCTATGGAACTGTTTATACATCTATTTAATTCTCAATTCATAATTTAGTTCATGAAAACACTCTAGTGAAATAGTCACTAATATAAATTTAAAAAAGACTAACTATCCTATTCAAAAAGGCATTTAGGTTATGTTTCAACGAAGATTGATATAAAAAAAGCATTTACATTATGTTAAAACATATTTTGAAGTCATAACTATCGGTGAAGTCATTTGATATTGAAAATTACATTAGATTATTGGCAACCAGGCATTTCATGTCAAAATCGTCCTTAGGAATGTTGGATCGCAAAATATTTGTTTACTGTTGTATCTGTAGTTTTTAGTTCTTAATCTGTGCTATAGACTCTGTTCAAGTAAATAGTTTAAACTAAACATCACTGAAACATTTGAAAAACTAATTATATGTATGGTACCTGACCCAAATAAGGCCATGTACCTAATAAGGCCAATGCCCCTTATTGATTAATATTGAATCCCATATTCAAAAATTGAAATATTATTGAAAAAGATATCTATAATGCAAATCAAAAATTATTGCGAGGATTCCTAGCAACTCGTTATATGTCGAAAAATGGCTAACCACAGATTTCATATGTCACGTTATAACTTTGAGGCTGGAACTTAATTAGTTTATACACATGTTCATAAAGGGAATGGAGCTTATGTAATTTTTACACGGACATTTATGTATTGAGAAAGCTACAGAGTAAGTACAGAATAATATCTTTGCTAGATTTCTAGTTACAGATTTTTTTTTATCAATGTAACATGTTCCTAATAAGGCCACATAAAAAGTTTTCAATTGGCCTCTCATCACAGTGTTTTTTTAAAAGAATGTGTCATATTATTGCTTAAGTGATGTGTTCTAGAGCGCCTGAAGTCTAACCAAGCAAGAAAAGCTGCGGTTTATTTGTCCTAGTTGTATGTAGACCTATTCGGATTACCATCCCTGGACTTAAAATTATTGTTTTTTCAGAATGCAGCAAACGTTAAAGTTCTATTTTGAGAACTTTATGTCGAAAAATAATATTTTTATAAATGATTCTATTTATTTTAAATTTTTTTTATTGTTGGCCTTATTAGGAGCATAGTGATCCGAATAAGGCCAATGGTAAGGGTCTTTGTTTTACGCAAAAACCACCACTTATATGTTAAAAGAAATAAATTGGAGTTAATATTCAAGTAATAGAAGCGAAACACTTCACATATAAGCTTGTGATTTTTGTTGGTTTTGGTGGATAGTGTTCGGAAAAAATAAAACTTCTTAACATGGCCTTATTTGGGACAGCTACCTTATAGCCTAATTTCTACCTTTTCTTTTAGTGGAAAACTCACAACTCCCTTTGGAATGTTGAATACCAATGTCTTCCTTTTTTTCCCATGCCAAAGTTTAGCAATTTCCATTCTCACAACTTCGCAACAAGTCAATTCACTAGAGCACACTAATTTTCTCAAGAATATACACATTTTTCGGGACTTTTTTGAATAAGGAAAAACTGAATATCACCCATATGCTTTATTTACTCCTGGATATAGGTAATAAATATGGCACATGATTATTATTTATCAAAATATTGATATAACTGGGATTAATTAAAACAATATCGGTTATTGATAACTACCTGCGGATTCAATTTCATTGTGAGAATGATACTCTTGTGAACCATTTGAAGAGAGAAATATTTAGATGCGATTTTTGCCAGCTTTCATCGATAAAATCTGAAAAGTCAATAAAAATGAAACACACATGTTTATCCAGAAAAGTTTTACTTGCATAATACACAATAAAAAAATAGAAACAAAACACAAAAAATTTGATGCGATAAAAATGCCGCAGACAAAAGACACCCTCACATGGTTTTTAGTTAGATACTTAACTAAAATAATAATGATTGTTGTAAAAATAGTAAATTTAGCCGTACTAACAACAGAAGAAAATCTAAATTTTTCCGATTTGCCTTATCCTCAGATCAATATCAATCCAATAATTCTGATAAGCTCACACTCATAGTTAGAGGTTATTTATAACAATATCAAATTGCTGGAGAAACAAAATAATTATTGAGGTTTGATCAAAAAAATGCCAAAATAACTGTTTTTACAACAAAAAGTTTTACCATAATAAAAATTACTTTACCCCAAAAACAAATATAAAATTTTCAAAACCTAAACTAATCTATTTGCAAATTCCGTAAAATAGTTTTTTCGTCTAGTTCCACTTGCTGGGGACTTTTGCTGCCGAAGAATCCCCACCAACCGCTTTTCCTTGTACGTTTCGATTCGTCAGATTTAAATTGGCCACTTTCTATCAGCCAATGACGATATTTGTCTAGTAGAGATTTGGTGGCTCTGTCTAGTTCGTCTATTGTCGATGATTCACCGCCATATTCAATGGGAAGAAGCTCTTGATCAATACCTTCGGGAATGTTACCTAGAAGCATCATAATTTCGTTTTAAATTAATATGTATTGATGGGTGGGTGTAATGGTAAACTTATATTGCATAGGAAATGATTGACCTGGCAAACTAGTTTGGTAGCTTGGTAGTAGTTTACCCTTATTTGACGCTCAATATCAATCTATCTGGCACTAGAGCCGAATATAAGACAAAATGTACGTTACTTATATCTGAAATCTAGTATGTATACCTTTGTGGAATTTAACTAAACTCAAAAGTTCGGATCGTACCAATGGTACGACCAGTCTCATGATGTGGTGGATCCAAGACGCGGTGTTGAGCACGTGGATTTGTTTCAGTCGACAGGGATGGGCTTCCTGGATGTAGTACATGAAACATTTTAATGCTGGTAGGCTGACTCTTGCCAAATGTCCGAGGCACACGTCTTTCATGTCGAAAATTACAACGTACCTGGAAGAAGATAGAGATTATCTAAGTGGAAGCAAAGCATTTGCTGAAGGTTGCTTGAACGTTTTTATTTAATCTTAATTGAAGTGTAGGAGCAGATTGATCAATAATGAAAATCAATAAAAAAAAACTCTTATAAATTAACTACGTTAAAAAAAGCCATTAATTTTGTTTCTATAAGAAAGTTGCATAAAATTACAAGCAATTATTGCAATGAACAATCTTTTCAATGAAATTAATAAATTCCGTCTAATTTCTTCGCTTCATAACAACCGTATCGTGGCGGTAATTAACACCGATATTGCACTTCCTTATTGTTGTAATAAATTAATTGCTTTCTTTTTTTAAAGAAAAAATATTCCTAAGTGCATAAATGAAATTTATTAATATAAAGAAAAAATATTCCTAAGTGCATAAATGAAATTTATTAATACAATTCAGGAATTAACTAGCATCTGTTGATTATTTTCTACATCGGTACATCTAACTCGAAACTTCGACTGATTTTTGCTCTTTACTCTTGGAATGCACCATCCTAATTCTTCGACAATAAATCACAGTAGGCTCGATAAGAATCAATAATGCAGCACCAGAAAAAGATAATAATTATAACGATTCAACGGTTTACTGAAAGAGTCCGCTTACATATTGTTTGTAGGCACATTTTGTAAGCACAAAATACCTGTATTAATTTTCTCTTTAAGAAAATGGTGACGAATGTCTATGTGCTAATAACAACCGTTCAAAGCTGAACTTCGCGCATAGCACACCTTGCCGATTGTCTACATTTTATGAAACCGGATCAGTTTTTGCACTCTGTTTTTTACTTAAAGAACGTAGCCACAAAACTTCCTGAACTGCTGACGACATAGCCATCATGTATTCAGCTTTTGTGGTCGAGAGACCTTCTGCTGCTTCTTGCTGTCCTACGATATTGGAGATTTTTTTCAGAAAAATGTAACCGGTAATCGAGCGACGATCATCCTGGTCACTGGCCCGATCCGTATCATAGTAGGACCGGCAAAAATGATCAAATGAGTATTCCTGTGATCCTAAACAGTGGCGACGCCAGGGATCTACGTTAGGGGGAGCCAGACTGGTTCAGAAAAATTTAGGAGGGGCACTTGTTTTTATATTATTGGTTTCTTTCTTTGGAATAAAAAATGAAAGTACCTACCTGGATGGTACTAATATGTCTGGGGGAATTCCAGGAAAGCGGAAGCAGCATCGCGGTTGCCTGTGCCCATGAATACTTAACCTAATAGGACTGCTTATTGGGCTGAAAATGTCTGCCATTTCAGCTGCAAACCTCAACACTTGGTGTAAAATGCATTAGCCGAGTTTAAAACAGTATAGGTCAAAAAAACGAATTCCTAAACGTTATAATTTTGTTAAATCACCTTTTCTTCATTTAAAATCGACGAAAAAACAAGCACAACCTGAATCGCAAGCATCCCATCGAGGCCTGCGGGTGACGTCATCACTATAAGTTGCTAATTAGTAGTGACGTCACTCGCAGGCCCTGCCGACTCGAGAATTGGCGAACCTACGTTTTATGAGGATGAGCAATCCTGTTAGTTTAAGTTAATGATTCTTGGCCTGTGCTCACAATACCGAATTAACCAGCAGAAGCTGCTGATGTTGCATTGCATTGTATTGTTGCGGATATGAGAGCAAGTTTTCAAGGGGGGCCGGCTAAATTTCAGTTGGGGGCCTCGGCCCCCTCTAGCGCCCCCCCCTCTGGCGTCGCCACTGATCCTAGAGAATGGGAAAGTACATCTTGCCGGCAGCTGGAGTGGTCCCTAACTCTCCTGCCATCCCCCAATGCCAAATAATATTGATTACCTATACAACTCACTGTACATTATTCTCATGTGACACCAGAGGCTTAATAAGTGATAAGCCTTTCAAGATTATCGCGCTTGGTGGCATTTATAGCGAATTTTATTATAGAATTTTTTTAAAATTTTAAAGTATAAGTTTAGTTCGTTGTATAACCTTTTAAAGGGCAAATTATGGACCGACTGATAAGTGTCAGGCTGTTACCTAGGTACTTTCTATTCTCTAGAGCATGGAAAGTACCTGCTAGGTAATAACCAGACACTTATCAGTCCGTCCATAATTTGGCCCTAAATACCACTCGATGTTTCAGGATTACCTAATACTTTTACCTGACACTCAACGCGTTAAGCCCGGGACACATCTATCATGCATCCTTCCGATCCGACTCGGATCATACAATCAGGGTCCTTATTCTTGGAACAGGGAGCAGCGTTCCTAGGAGAGCGAGTGTTCCGCTGCTCCCCTGTTCCAAGAATAAGGACCTTGATGATATGATCGGAGTCGGATCGGAAGGATGCATGATAGATGTGTCCCGGCCTTTACCAGCAACACTACTCCTCCTTCGGAGTCGTGGTGTTGCCGCGTAACGTGTTTCGTGACAGGTAAAAGTATTATCCGGTAATCCTGAAACCTCTTGTGGTATTACATTCGAGAATTTCATACATCTGTCAAAACTGACATTCCAACAATAAACTGACATGTTTTGATTTGAACCAATCAGATTGGAATTACGCGATAATTTGCACCAGTACAAATTATCGGATAATTGCATAGTAACTGCTGCGAGAACTGGTGTTTTGACAAAAAATTTAAATTTTTGATTCATGAAATTCTCTCATAAAATACAACTCGTGCAATATGGAAATATATCTATAATTTTCGACAAATTTGCACTTATGCGTTTTTAACTGAAAAAGGCATTAGTGCACTACGTGCACTCGTGCTCTTTTTCAACTAAAAATGCATTCGGGAAAATTTCCCAAAAATGATTATATTACCGTCGAAATACCAATCCAGGGTTCAAATAGGCAGTTTTTTTACAGATCACGCACTAGCGAACCATTGTAGTTGCTAATAAAATAGTAGTGTAAGTTGCGGGTTGTAGATCCCAGCCAATCACAATGCAGCATTTTTTTTTCGCGATGCACCGGCGCGAAGTGAGCGGTGGCGGTGACGGTCGTGTGACGCAAACCGCGTGTGGCGTCGCGCAGCCGGCTGGCGGTAAGGGAGAGGTTTTTGGGATCTGTCAATGGACGAAGAATCAGTCGATGGATGTTGATGCAGATGCTAGTCAGGAATGCATTTTATTGTATGAGGATATTTAATAAAAAAATTGGATTTTTTGTAAAGGTTCAGGTTTTGTGGATCAAATAAAACCAAAAATATTTAGAGGTTACTTTCGTCAAATCAGTATTATTTTAAAAATGTGTTTTTCTTATCTATTCTAGAATTATAATAAGATTTGATATTTTCATGTCATTCTCAAAAGAGGCAAAAGTACACTTAAACCTAAAATTCGAAATTCTAGTATAGTTAGATGTCAAAAATTTGGGGTTGGCCCGGGTCAAATTCCCGAAATTTCAGATCAAAGGCCCCGCCGATTCAGAGATTTGCCCACGGTATCGAAAAAGTTCCCAGGCTCAGGTGCACTCGTTACTATCAATTTGGGAGTTTGTCAGAGCATTTATTTTCACTGCGACACACAAGATGAATACTCCTCAACTTTAACAATTTTTTCCTAGTTCTAATCTAGTTCATCATACAGTAGCTTTTTTGGGTATGGAGATCTTTTCAAGACGATCGAGTGGATAAATTCTTTGGCCACAGTCTAAACATAGTTCAACTATTCCTTCCCGATACCCTTCATACGTTAAGCCCTCTTCGTTAATTGGATATCTTTCAGAGTTTTCATGCCATTCTCAAAATCTTAGGCAAAAGTACATACACTAAAACCTAAAATTCGAAATTCTAGTATAGTTAGATGTCAAACACTTATTTTTCATTAGGCTCAAACAGAAAGTGAAAAATCAATTTGGTAGTTTGTCAGAACATTTATTTTTACTGCGACACACAAGATGAACACTCCTCAACTTTAACAATTTTTTTCCAAATTTTCGTCACTTTTAACACAATTCAATTCATGAGTGTAATCTGGTTCATCAAAAAGTAGCTTTTTGCGTATGGAGACCTTTTCAACACGATCGAGTGGATAAATTCTTTGGCCACAGTCTAAACATAGCTCAACTATTCCTTCCCGATACTCTTCATACGTTAAGTCCTCTTCGTTATTTCAGTGAAATAATTCTTATAGGTTCTGACAAAAATCTTAACATAGTTTGTTATGCGGCATAGGTTTCTCTGCAATGTAAAATATTATATTAGTCACGGTTACTAGTTAGATAATCAAACATACAGTTTATATTTAGTTAGTTCAGTTTATGATCAAATTGTTGCCATCTAGGATATGAAAGTATTGAAAAAGTATTGAACGTTTGTCTTTCGTGCAAAATTTTACCAATACAAATGTTTAAACATTCTCTAAACTGTGTGAGCCAGTTGGGAATTCCAAGTGGTGAAGGAGATAAGAGCCAATGAGTAGCTATAATCAGGATCGAGTTCGATGGGTGGAGTAAAGTCAACGCTCAAGCGACTAGTTCGACCTTTTAACGTGAATGTCTGAGACATGACTAATGTGAAATTAAACACGATTTATTTATATGGATTTATTAAACAAAAAAATAAGTGCAAGATGTCCACAATCGAATGAGTCATATACTGGTTATAGTTAAAAAAAATCTTACAATTTTTGAAGTACCGAATAAGTTCTTTCGGTGGATTAAGGTTACCAAAACTGTCAAAGTAAACCACTGTATTACCACTCTTTTTATAAGCTACCCAATGCGTTCCAGATCCTGCAGTCGTATCCAAATTAACTATCCCACATTACATTCGTTTTTCTTTGGAGACGTTGGCAAGTTATCTCGCATAAACACGTCTCTAAAATTTTAAGTTTTTTAACGTATCACTTGATATCGCGGTCACTGAGTGGTCGATTGGGTAGCCTTATTGGTAGTTTTTAGGTATATTCTTCAAGTAGGTACAATCCATACCCAGTCTTGTGTTTTGCTAGATATAACCCCCTTCTTTTTTTTCCCAACGCA